CTATTATTATTGAAGGAATGTGCAATTTGAGTAAATTAAAAATAGGTTAGAAAACTACTTATGAGTGCACCATAGTCAAAGGGTGAAAGATTCACTATGCAATTGTGTTCAAAAATTGTAGCTATGATAGTCTTTTAAGCCTTGGACGACTGAGACTGGGTCAATTCGTGACCCGTACAAATATTTCTATTCAATTTATTAATAAACTATTATCGTTTCTCACTAAATTTGCATTTTATATTTTACAAATGCACTATTCCTTACAAATACTCAGACATCAGATTCATTTGATTAAAATAATATTATTCTAATTTAACACTATTCCTACCACACTTATGATGCAAACTGTGGAAATACTTGTTAACACAAATATTAAACTCAGAAAGTACTTCCAAGTTATTAAATTTATTTGTTCAATATGAAATTCATCTAGACTAGAAGTCTGATACTAATAATGGAGTCAGAAAAGGGCCCATTCTCCGTCGTTCGAGGGTTAAGTTTTCCAAAGCCGCCGCATTAGTTCCGAATCCCGCCACTTGGCGCTGCGGAGCCCCCATATTTCCGAAATGTCCCAGGTATCTCTTTCTCCGAGCATTTGCATCCGATCGCGGAGTTTAAATGGCTCGTTTTCGGTGCTATTGTGCGCGGGGGGGAAGCGGTAGGCGAGGCAAGGATCGAAACTCGTCGAAAGAGCGTTCGTTCCGTGGCTCTATCGAGGCGAGTTCGTCACGCGCCGCTCCTTTTTTCCTCTTCTTCCCCGTCCCTCTCGATTCGTTCTCGTCATAATAGAGGAATCTGTTCGTGGCCGCGCGCTTTGGCCCGCCTCTATCGTTTCTGGAGCCGCCGACAGCCACCGGCGCGCCGCTGGCTGTCGAGGTTTCGAGCAGGTTCTCAGGAATTCACGGACTCATGCGACGACCGGGTGTCCAAGTGAAACGTATAATGGCATTTAACGAAGAGGAATCGGCGGCGGGGGCACCCAACGTGCTCCAAATTGCTAGGTCAGGCTAATGCGGGGGATCGGGTATTGTTCCGACACCCTCCGCAGCGATGGCTCGTGGGAACCCGTGTCCTTTTTTCTTTCCATTATCCTCCGTCGCGAGCGTCCTCGCCTTTTTCGGAAACCGCCATTTTCTTTTGTACTTTTCCCCGATACGATCGACGACCACCGATGGCGACACGTCCGCGCGAATTAACGTTCGCGGATCGAAATGGGGGGAAGGCAACGACGAAGACGAAGGTGGGCGAAGCTCCACTCGTCTCTGAAAACTGGTCTGCCGGAGACGCGGGCCTTAGGACCCAAGGAGAGTCCGAGGAGCGGCATTCCCCGGTAATTAGTCTCACCCATAAATTACTGGCTATTCCGTGTCTGTGTTGGTCACAAACTCCGGTAACGTTCTCTCTTTCCTCTCTGCTCCCCCCCTCTTCCCTTCATTTCCACTCTTCTTTTTCGCGTTTCCTTAGCGTTGCATCGAACGATAGTTCGTCATCGTAGGACGAATAAAGTATCTAGGTGGCAGGTTTGAGTCTATGGGAACGAAACGGAACTCATCTTAGCCGTGGGTCCACGGGCCCCAGTCTGATCCCGGAGAGTATCTCTCGGGCCGGCGAAGGGGCACAGGACCCCGCTGCTAAATGAGCTGTAATACGGACCCCCGCTGACCCCCTTGCTCCCCCCTCCCTCCTGCTCTTCCACCTCCTTCTCCGTCCTCCGTCCCTCTCTGTCTGCCTCCTCTTCGTCCCCCCCCCCCCCTCGACCCCCCCTCGTCGAAAACTACTTGCCCCTCGGGGCAGGATTCGACGGTCATGATACGGCCACACCGGACGACTCCTTTTACCGTCACTCTTCCCGCGTGGTGCCTTTTGCTTTCCGCTGCTCCTTTTCATCGGCGTTGTTATCGCTTGTTCCTTCCGCGTCGGTTCGCCTTTCGACGCGCGCTTTGTCGGTGCAATCGGGCCGCTGCATCGCGCAACGCGACGCCATCGCGACAATTTCCAGCGCTCGGTTTCCCTTGACTCGATACCCGGGAAATACGAGCCCTCATACTCTTTGCAAGAAACGGTTCTCCCTTTATGGGACTCACGAACGTGATATTAAAATATTTTTTATTTTACTGTTTTTAGAGAAGACACCAAATCATAATGCATTGTATTGACCCATTGTACGATATGCATGAAACATTCTAATGCATTGCTAGCTAACCTCGAAAGATATCTACAAGAAGTCTTACAAAATGACGGAGGAGTAATGTACCTCGATTAATTTGGTATTTAATGGCAGGAGTGAAAGATGGTGTTAGAAAAACTAGAGAAGAAAACCTGTAATGTCTGGGGGGTTCACCTCCTGCACTCGTCGCTAGAGGGCTACTCTCTTGACTCCCTCGCAAACGATTGAGTGACCCTTTAGTTCCTCAATCGACTCTCCAATATCGTGGCAACTAAGGCAGGGCCTGCTAGGAAGCCTTTAGTGATGAGTCCACTATTTATATCAGGCTCTCCCGGGGACTTCCCCTGCTATCTCGCTTACAATTCCCCCATCCATCAAGATGCAAAGTGCCACAAATGCGTTGCAAAAAGAATTCTGTATTAATCACAGTTTGACCATAGGACCGCGAGAGGTTAATAATAGTCGAGAGAGAGTCCGTCTAGTCCCCCCGAACTATTTTCTGTGGTGACATTTGTCTGGATGGCGTCGTCGCGTCGCGTGGGTGGGAGAGGGGCCTGATGACAGTGGTGATGTGACCCCTCCTGGAGGCCAATCGTCGCGTGCTAGCCCCTGGAGGTCAACGAAGCAATTGACCCCGTGGTTCTGACGCGACGAGCGAGATCCCCCCGTCAATTAGGTCAGACCTCAACGCTTTTTGGGTCCTCCGCTACCTATCGAAGAGGCGACTAGAACACGCGAATCCGATACTTCGTGAGACGCGAAGTTGTCGTCTCCTTTTCGAAAGGGAGACGTGTACTCGAAGGATCAGGATCCCGGTAAAGGTCCACGGTCGGATCGCGGCTTTGTCGTGGCGGCGGAGATGAAAAGGATGTAGCGAGCCACACGCCGACAGCTTAAGCCCTCTCAATAGCCCTGTAAGATGCGCCTCCGCCGTGTACCACCGAGACACGATGGTCAGAGAGCCGGGATCGGGTTGTGAAACGGAGAGGAACGGTGGACGGGGAGAAGGTGGAAGAAGGATGAGGATATGGTGGACGAGAAGAACGGTCCAAGTGCTCCGGTGTTAAAAAGAGACCCGCAGAAGAGGAACTCTGCTACCGGGGGAGCTTTGGGACCGCGAACTTTCGAAGCTTTGCGACGTTTGGACTCCGTGGGAAGGTCCCCTCTCTGTGACTTATTCTCTTTTACTTTATATCTAACATCTACTCTGAGTATCATTGTAGAATAATCAGAGATACAATTAATACTGTACCTTAGGAGCATTGACTGAAGTGGTGTCTATTTGATTTAGTTGCAAATTTGTCTGAGTTGTGGCATCTTCAACCCTGGGCTCCTGAAATCATATGCAGAATCAGGTCAAGCATTATTCAGGATAAAAAGTTTCCTAGGAATGTCATTGCAACAAATGCTCATCGAAGTGGCGCTACTAAGTGCTTTTCCATAGGGTGAGAGGCTGAATATCACGCACAAGCTGGAAATCGCGGGAATTTAGCATCGTTCCGAAAGATAGCGGCGCGCCGTAGGCCCCGTGGTCCTCCCCCCGCGGATCCCCAGGCGGCAGGTTGCGAGGCAAACTCGTCGAGAGTTTCGTAGGAGAGTCAAAAGAGGAAAAGAGGGGCTCGGTTGCGTCCCGTTGCCGCCGAGCGGCGCTCACCTGCCTAGCCCGCAACAGTCTCGTACGGTTCGCTCCGACCGGGAGCCTCGTCGCCGATCACGGACGAACGATTCTCCTCTCCTCTCCCCTACCATCGTGCACTTTCCACCTCCGCACGGATCGCGCCACGCCACGCGAGCTTTTCGACCTTCTTCCTCGCCCCCGTCTCTCAGCCTTTCTTTACTCCCCTTCCTCCGCCCTCGCTGCACTCCCTTCCCTCCCCCGTTGCTCCAACGCGTCGCTGGATACCACGCGGTCTCCGGCGTCCCGGAAAAATTGGAAATCCCCCCCCGATGACGACACGATCGACAGTGACGTCGGTGGTGCAGTGAAGTGTCCAAGGGAAACACGAACAGAGAGGAACGAGACGAGGCAAAAGAAGAAAAAAGAGTGGGCGAAGGCTAATGGTGGGGCAGATGTTCTCTACTCCTCGGTACATTCCTGGTGGGGGTAAGGCAACACTCAAAGTTCGTGGTGACGTAGTTCTGGCAGGAACGCGTCGCGTTTTTGTCCCCGCCGGAAGAAAACGCCAGCTTCCTAGATACTGTGGGAAAGGGCGAGAGGGTGGGGAGGACGTCTAGCCGGAAGATACCGGAAACCGGGGGTTCCTCTCTTCCGGGGTGATCCACTGCTCGTCGCGCGACAACGTGCGCCCTCCACAGGGGGGACAATTGGATTGTTTATCCGGCGGTCGAGCGCCGGGCCCCGTCCCGTGGACCATGCGGATCCCGGGCGTACGATATTTGTATCCGTCGGAGTGCTTCAAAGAGACTGTTTCGCTTTGATCGGCGGCGCTCTCGAAGCTGGAGAAGAAAGAAGAAGGCGAGGAAGAGGAACAGGCGGCGGAGAAGGAGGAAGAAGCGTGCTGCAACGACGCCCAGGAAGAAGAAGAAGAAAACGATCGTGCTTCGGTGAAGTGTCGGCAGAAGCGAAGACCAGATACGAGAAAGTAGTCGAGAGTGGACGGTCGAGGAGATCGGGTGCTCGATAAAGAATTTCTCCGGGGCGAGATCGAGGGAAAAGGACCGAGCGGATAATCGGTTCGTGATAGGTGAGGAGTCATCGCGGGTGCTACGCGACTTCCTGTCGCCCTCTGGGAACGGTGGTTCCGGTCACACGAACGGGCAGAGAAAGGAAGCGATCGGCAATTGTCGAAGACCACTCCGCGGGGCGGAGGGGATGGAGATGCGCCTCGTTCTCGTGGCGATCTGCCTCCTTCTCGTCACCCCCATCGCCGGCTCTTTCTGGTACGTATTCCTTTGTTTACGCTCGCTCCGAACGATCTGACCGGGCGACGAGTGACAGCACCGACGGCAGCCTATCCGCCATATTTCTTTCTTTCGCCTTAACCTCGAAATCCGCGCGTCAATCAAGCTGCGAGAACGCTCGCAATCAAGAATAAAACCGGCAATTACGCGGAAAAGAGCGGTTAAACGTCGGTACTTTCCAAACGTGACGAACTAACGAGTGCTCCAGTTCCGAGGTACGTCATCTGGGTTATCAATTACGCGGGGCGCGTTACGCGTGCGCGCGGAATGATTAATGACGCCATAAATCCACCTTTGGTAGTTACTCTTGCGCTCCCGGTAAGTAAGACCTGTTCCGAGATTTACGGTTTCGTTTCGACTCGGCTAAATTGCTCGTTACCGTTACCGGGAAACCTGGCCGGACCTCCGCGACGCTCGGCGTCCCGTCGAAACGCGCCAGCGAAATTCGTAACAGGGGGGGGGGGGGCACGTGACGCCGCCTTCCGTAACCGCGTTACGTTCCTCGTCGAGGTATCTCACCGGTTCGGTACAGTAAATTATTCCCCGGTGGCTACGAGCGCGACGTGTGTGTACCCGAGTTTATTATGTAAACGTTTGTACGACGATAGACCCGTTATCGCAGCCAAGGTTCCAGCATCCAACCGTCGCTGCGTCTCGAAAACAGTCGCGGAAAATTCGAGACTTTTGAATGGTGATTCCCAACCCAACCTCTCGCTTGTTGTTTAACTCTTTGACGGCCATTGTCACGCGTCAGGTCACTGTTTTATCTGTTTCGTCGTTGGAATTTGTTTGGGATTAAATGCAATAGGGTATAGAAGCGATTAAAACATCATTCGTCAAGTTTAATATTCCTCCTTGATAGAGTTCTATCTATTGATGGCCGTTGTCACGTGTACGTGACTTCATTCTTGCTATAGCAATGTTATCATTTGAATTTGTTCAGATATCTCGAAACCAATTTTCTACTAAAATATATAGGAAAGATGTAGGACGTAGGAGGGCCTTGACTATTTCCGATCACTTTGACAGCCGCTATCACGCGTACGTGACTTCATTCTAGCCATAGCAATACTATTATTCGAATTTATTTGAATATCTGGAAATCGATCTTCTTGTGAGAGATGTTGGAAAAGGTAACGTTGGAGACTTTTGGTTGCTTCCTAATACTTTCATGGCCGTTGTCACGTTTATGTGAGTTCATTCTTTCCATGGCAATGCCATCGTTCGAATCCGTTTAGACATCTCGAAACCAAGTTTCTAGTAAGAGATACAGTGAAAGAAGATGTGGGAGGCCTCGACTGTTTCCTAACGCGTTGACAGCCGTTGTCACACGTACGTGATTTCACCATTCCCCCAGCAATACCATCGTACGAATCTGTTTAAACATATTGAGACCAATTGTCTAGGATGCAGGGGAGTATGTGGGAGTCCCCGACTGTTTCCTAACGCGTTGGCAGCCGTTGTCACGCGTACGTGATTTCACCATTTCCCCCAGCAATACCATCGTACGAATCAGTTTAAATATAACGAGAGCAATTTTTTAGGATGTGGGAGTCCCCGACTGTTTCCTACCGCTTCGACGGCCATTGTCACGCGCACGTGAACGAAATGTGTAATCGTGGTTCTGGTTTTCGTGAAGGGCGAGGGACACAACCGTGGTGGCTCTCTCGCGAGGTCGAGCAAATATTTGTCGACGATTTAAAGGGGATTTCTGCGCGCGACGTCGACACGACGCCGGAGTGTTTGATAAATATATTAGAAGGTCCGTGGTTTGTTTCGACGAGAGGTATTTAACAGGTATTTAAGCAGGTTCGAGGAACCTTTGCGCGTCGGACGTTTTCGACTTTTTCGCCCGGCGGTTTATCGATCCGCGGCGTTTCGCCCTCACGATCCACCAGGTTCGCATTCGAGGGCCGATTACTCGATCGGAACCGGATTCTCTTTCTCGATCGAGATTCCCCGGTTTTTTCGCGAAGGAATACTATCCTATCTCAGTTCCCCCCGTTTCTCTGGGCTACGGTCGATCCGTTTGGCTCCTCTCTCGTTCCGTTTCACGGGGCAGCGGCGGAGACACGCGGAGGAGCCGGACCCGGGACGATCCACGAGGACAAAGACGACCGAGTGGAAGAGTAAAGAGGTAAAGAAGCGAGCGAGGATGGACAATGGTCTCGCTCGAAGCGTCACCCGTAAATCTCGTTGAGCGCGTATAATTTGTAAGTCGGCAGCAGCCCCGTTTCGCCTCTTCCCTCTCGCCTTCTCTTTTCCTTGCCTCCTCCGCGCTGATCCTCTCCGCGTCCCTCACCCTCGATGTCCCACGGGACCGCGAAACCGTCTCGAAACACCAAAATCGAGAGCGATGCGTCCAACGTGTCCTTTAAGACCAAAAGTGACACAAAATTGAAATTTTTAACGTTTTTTCATTTTTAGACCTATCTATATCACTGGATCTATAAAACGTGTTGATTTGATGGGTCTCAGATTCCAAATTTTACGTTTTGGAACTCTGGATATATTATTTAGGTTAGGGTACCTTTGGTTGTCCAAGGGGGCGGCCATTTTGGTTTTATTATTTGTAGATATTTTCATTTCTATGATAGTAGGTTTATGAAATGGGTCTCAGATTCCAAAATTAACGTTTTGGAACTCTGGATATATTATTTAGGTTAGGGTACCTTTGGTTGTTCGAGGTGGCGGCCATTTTGGTTTTTTTATTTGTAGATATTTTTAATTCTATGATTGTAGATTTATGAAATGGGTCTCAGATTCTAAATTTACCATTTTGAGACTAAAGAAATATTATTTAAATCTCGTTTTGTGATACCTCGAGTTGTTCCAACAATGGCGACCATTTTGGTGCTTTCATTTGTATATAATTTCGTTTCTATAATACTAGATTCATAAAATGTGTCAATTTGATGCATCTAAGATCCTAAATTTACTGTTTTGAGACTCAAGAAATATTATTTAAGTCTCCTTTTGAGGGACCTCGTGTTGTCCCAAAGATGGCGGCCATTTTGGTACTTTCGTTTGTACATATTTTCGTTTCTATGATAGTAGGTTTATGAAATGGGTCTCAGATTCCGAATTTAACGTTTTGAGACTCTTGAAATATTGTTTAAATCGTTTGGGGTACTTTGGGTTGTCCAACAATGGCGGCCATCTTGGTTCTTTCGTTTCTATAATACTAGATTCATAAAATGTGTCAATTTGATGCATCTAAAGCTCTAAATTTACCATATTGAGACTCTGAAAATGTTATTTAGATCGTTTGGGATAGACGACGGCCATCTTGGTACCTTCGTTTGTAGGTTAGAATTGTTCAATCAATAACCAGATAAATATAGAACGTGGAAGTTTAGTTTATGAATGGATGTAACATTGTAATTTGCTGTTCGTTCGCTCTTTCATTTTCGAATCGACGCTAATTGATCTACGCGACCTATACTAACCGCGGATGATCGAAACATAGCAACTGTCGAGTTACTACAAACGGTAACTTTCTATTAACCCTTCGTAATAACGCGTGACTCTAACCTAGGAACCATTATCTACACATTGTATGTCTAATCTAACCTCATTATCAATATGTGTCTATTATAAAAACAATTTAGCATGATCAAGAAACTATTTCATTTAAAAAAAAAATACTCCAATTCATCAAAATGGCTACAATTTTCATTTCAATTAATATTTCATTACAAAATTTAGTGCTTTTCATTCAATAATCGATAATAAATAGAATACTACTGTAAAATACAATAAATAATCTGTATTTTTTCATCTAAAATTTCAACAACAATTACCAGTTCACTCAAATATATTAATAATAATTTACCAATTATGTTGTGACTAGAGTACTTTATATAGTCAGATTTAAATATTGTAAATAATTTATTATTAATTTATTAATAACTGGAACCATATTCTTGTTTCCTGAGTCATTTATTTCGTCATTAGAATATAATTGTTTGCCTTCCAGTCGAAAAGTTAATTAAACAACGATTTGATAATATTCAAGTAATTATTATCGTTCACCAATGGTCTCGTCGTAAATTCTTTTCTTAGAAGCTAAATAGAATTTCGGTTATAGAAGGTTAACACACTTCGTTCCACGTTAATTTCTGTGTGACTTTCTATTTAGACCGACGCGTCCAGCAGAACGTAATTTAAATGTGTATAATTTCTGTTTTATAATACTTATAGACAGCAAACATCGTTATCAGACTGTGGGATTTCGTTTATTCGTACGCGAATTTAAAAACGCGATAACGTTATCCGGAATCAAAGTAATGTTATAAATTAGTGTAAAATATTAATTTATAATCTGCACGTTAAATAATGCATGAAATTCACGAGCTAGAATTATCAAGAAAAAAATGTAGACGCATAAAATGTGGTATGCACGATAATTACGTGGCAATTAGGATAGCTATCTTAGTAGTCGGCCATTTCTCGTGATTTGGGACGTTTTAAGTAAGGTTAGTAACAAGTTTAATCTTACTTTCAGCTAAACGAGTTACGAGAATCGTGGTTTTCTTTGTCCTTATTCTTCTTATTCTTGTCCTTGATCTTGATAAAACCACTGAATTTCAAATCTCTTTCTATATTAATAATCAACGCAATAACTATGGAGTACAAACTGTAAACTCCAAAATGGCTGCACATGCAACTACAAACTATAACTTTTAATATTTCAGAGTGGTATCAAATAAATAAAATTTAAATTATAGAATAATGTCATGTGTGTTATATTATTCTGAATATTTAAATTGTAAAATTTAAATTGAAAATTGAAAATTCAAATTATAGAATAATATCACTCCATGTGGGTTATATTATTCTGAATATTTGCTTTGAATATTTTAGAGTGGAATTAAATAAATAAAATTTAAATTATAGAATAATATCACTCTATATGTGTTATTTTATTTTAAATATTTGCTTTGAATATTTTATTTTATTAAACGAAATTTAGACAA